TGGCAGGCTTTCCCAGGGGACTTGAAATGGAGTTTTTTTTGTTCCATTGGTTCTTCAAGGATGAATGCCAGGGGCTGGGGTGATGCTCTCAGTCAATCATCCCAGACTCCTTGGATATAGGGGTGTTAGAGGGCTGGGGTCTCACTTTTAATCAAACATCCCAGAGTCCTTGGATATAGGGGTGGTGGCTCAAGTCTGGCTACTTCCTGCAGGCATGGGGCAATGTGGGAGGGGGGAGAGCTAGGAGTTGGTGCACTCATGCTCAGGGAGAGGTGTGGCTGGTGAGGCATCTGGTTTACTGTCATCCTGAAGTCTTCAGGCAGCTGCTTTTTGGGGGAGATGAGCAGACAGGTGGCTAGGAGAAAAAAATACTGTTTTTTTGGTCCTATGAATGGGTCCTAGCCATGGGAAGTCACTAATTGCCAGAAAGAATGGGGCAGAGAAGTATCCTGGCTATACAGGTGGGCTTGGGTGTATAATTGGAACACAATAGCATATAAAACCAGGTTTTAGCTGGTAGGTGTCCTTGATCCAGGAGAGTTGATCCAATGGTAAAGTCCCAGGAGCTGGTGCAGGTGTTTGGCGTTGTCTGGAGAGTGCTTTGTCTTGGCCCAGACAGCAGGAATGACCTGTAAAATATACTTGAAACTGGGTGGGGTTAAAACAGGTTCTGTTAGCCTTTACTAGACTTTTGAAAACACAGTAGAACGTTTTCCTGGAAACTATATGTATCTGCCAAATGCCATTAGACAGACAACTAAAGCGAGTTGGGATCTCTGGATTGTTAAGATGTACCTGAAACCTGTTAGTCCTGGACTATGAAGGCTGTGAAAGAGACACACCTGTCTGTATTTTTTGTGGGAGATTTAACAAATGAAATAATGAGCTACTAGTTCCTTAAGTCATCAAACGCCATTAGACAGATCTGAGAGGGATAAATGAGCAGAAATGAGACAGCTTTATAGCTACACAGGCAATCCCAAGTCCTCTCCTAGCCCTTAGAGAACACCAGTCTTAGAAGCAGTGCTTGCCGTTAGCTGCTGAGTACAAAAGACCCAAAGATTTTTCCTGTCGGGGGGAAGATTTAGTCTATCTGTCTTGGCAGGATGAGAAGATCTATTCTCCAGAAGGTATCCAGGAGCTAAAGAGGTGGAAGGCAGCTTTTTGCTGTGTGGGTGGCTTTGCCAAACCGAAAGGCAAGGCCTGGAAGTGGAAGGTCTTCTGTCTTCTTAGAGGCACTAAGGGGTGCTGCAGAAGCTGCCTGTCTGTGTTAGAAGCTCTTTTGTTAAATGCCATACCCTCAGATCTGTAAAGGTACTTGAGAATTGGATACCATTATCTGTTATTTTAAACAAGGCATAAAAACTAAACTTATCCAATTAGTTACAGTTTACCAAGGTCAGTAAATGTAAGAAGATTAAAAGGAATATTTTAATAAGTCAGAGAATACTAGTACATGTAGGTACTCTTACCCCAAAATAGCAGAGAGGTCAAAATGGAGGCTACCCATGTGTCTGTATTTTTTCAGAGCTACTATAATCTGGAGTTATAAGCCTTATAGATCTTAACATTTCTATACCATTTTCTTCATGTAGCTACATTCATGCACTCATGCACCACAGTTGCTATCATTTTCCTTCCCCCTCCCATAAACTTCCTTAGCTTTAGAAGGAACACCATGCACCTCTAACATGCTCTGACTCCTGCTGTCTTATTCTGGGCTCTCTGCACAGCAATGTTAAAGACAAAGACCCAAGTGAAAACTAAGAAACCTGAATGGATAGAGAGTAAACAAGAGAGGTGAGATCCAATACAAAAAGCCTTACCAAACTGATGACTGTTAAAGACAGTGGTTAGAAATGGATTGAAAGCATCACTCCAGCCCCTGGCATTCATCCTTGGGGCACCAACGGAGCAGGAAGCTCCATTTCAAGTCCCCTCCCCTGGGAGTCACCTTGGTCTGGACCACACCTCCGGGAAAGCCCACCAAATGATGACCCCTTCCCAGGGAAGGTCAGGACCACCCCCATAGGCTATTTAGGCTGCTGTAGAAAAGAAAAAAGGAACATGTGTGTTTGGTCAAAAGTGAGATACCAATCCCCTAATACTCCTCTATCAAAAGAGGCTAGAATGTAATATTGAGTTGAAAGTGTCACCCCAGTCTGCCAAGTGCTCGGACTCCAATTCCCAGCCTGCTAAGCACTGACCCCTTCCTGGGGAGGGTAAGGACCACTCCCACGGGGTATTTAGGGCAACAGGTGGTTTGGGGTTTACCTATGCTTTCCCTCTGTCTTCCCCCTGTCATGCTCCTGGCCATCTAGGAATGCACCGTTTATTAAACATGGGCATTTAATTTGGTCTAATCTGGTTTAATTGGAGTTCTTTGAGCCAGCGGAGAGGCCCATTTTAAGATTTTTCCTAACAATGTGCTCTTTGGGTTTTGCATGGTGCCCCCCCAACACTCTCTCTCCCCCTCACCATGCTCCTGGCCACTCAGGAGCACTGACTGCATTTATTAAACATGGGCATCTTTTATTCAGTCTAATCTGGTCTGACTGGAATTGTTTGCGTAGGCAGAGAGGCTCCCCTTAAGATTATTCCTAACAGTTACTCCCTCCCGCAGGACTTTCTGGGAGCTCTGTGAAGGTCTTTAAGAACTTCCACCTGGGAGACAAAAGGGGAAGCAGCTACCAAGCTGTTCTCAGCTTTTTGGGCCAAGGGTAGTCCCACAGACACCTACTTTCCCACAATTAAGGTTCTGCTTGCTTGAGTACAGAACTTCCAAGGGTATTCCATGTCAAGGCCACAGGGGAGGCCTAGATCAGTCAGAAGTCAACTGTGAAACCTGTAGGCTCAGTCAAGGATCTGCATGGATCTGCCTGTGCAAAGAGATTCCCTGTCCAGCGTGGCTGCCTGCCTGTCCATGGGTCCTTTCAAATTCCACATACAGGGTCCCAGGCAGTTCAAACTGGCTGCAGATAACAGTTGCAGGTGAGGGGGTGGGGGTGGAGTCTTCTTTGTCCCATCCTGTGATGTTTTCATTGTGTTCCTTGAGCTACACCAGCTGTCCTAAGGTGAGTGTAGCCTGCCATCCGATGAGACTGTAGGGAGCACACTCTATGAGGATGGGCAAGATTCATATGCAGCTAGAGTGGTCTAGTAAACAGAAAACACACCCCCCACCCCCGCAAATGCCTACTATGTCTGAGCCAGACAGCTGTAGTTACAGCAAAGAGTAACTCAGTATGCAAACAGAATGCCAGATCAGTGTGGAAGCAGTCAGGATGGCTCCCACACCACAGTCCAGGCAGAGCCAGTGCCTGCCCATTGCTCTTCCTCTTCTTAGACAGCCAATACTCTCACCATGGTTAGTTCATCCCTGTGGTGAGGGCAGCCTGCTGGGCGTCTTGCTCAAGTCACACTCTCTCAAAGAGCAAGGGAGCTTCCTCAAGGTTTTGGTAAAGGGAAGTTGGAAAGGGGAAATTCCGCCCCCCCTGCTGTGTTAGTCATAAAGACGACGACAGCAAGAGAAGGCTGTCAGTGGGCCCCACCTTTTGATTCTTAAGACACAAGAAAAAGACATCTTCAGCGAGTAAGTAAATACATTTATGATTTATCAACCGTGGGAAGCCTTAGTAGAACAATTTAACACCAACCTGACCTTTTTTCTTTTCTTTTTAAGACAACAGCTCCTATATCCCAGACTGGCCTCCAACTTGCTATATAACCCAGGATGATCTGGAACTTCTGATCCTCCTGTCTCCACCTCCCCAGTGTCACCACGCTGTTCATACAACTCTGGGGCTCGAACTCGGGGCTTCCTGCATGGCAGGCAGACGTTCTACTGACAAAACCACCTCCTCAGCCCCAACTTCACTGCTTTTAAAACAAGCATACAGTTGTGACTTGCCCTCGGAGGAGTCTCCTGAGATCTCTTGTTGTCACAGCTGTGGCATTTCAACACTCTTAGAAAACACCATCAGAATTCTTTTGCGTTTCCTGGATGCTAGCCAATATTTCTATAGGCTGACCTTGAGTTTTTCTAATCAATAAAATGCTAATGGAAAAGTCTCTTCAAACTTACAGGTTAGAGCGTGGCTAGTGAGAGACAATCTGGTATGGCTCGGGGATAGCTCCAAAAGAGGAGATCCACAAATCTGGCCAGTTGTAGGTATGACGTCATTCATTTTCATTTCTCAACTTTAATATGTTTACTGGAAAAAAACATAAACATATATTATACGGCATAGTCTAAATACATAGTGTTTGTCGTGTGTCTTTTCTTTGCTCTCTTTTTACTGGGACACCCCTCCATTGGATGAAATCCTGTAGGAGTTATTGTGTTTAAGATCTGAGGTTCTTGATATCCTGTTAACAGATAAAACACTACCCTGGACAAATACATGTTTGCCAGTCCCTCTGGGTTTCTGTGTGTGACTGTGGGGGTGGAGGGTGGAGAAAGTGGGAGGTGGGATTTAAGCTTTCTTGGACTGGTTGACACTGAAGGGTCTTGGTGCTTTTCATTGTTATTGTTTGTGAAATGGGGTCTCACTGTGTTCTGATGTTAGCCACACACCAAAGCAGAGAACCCTTTCACCCAACTGCTGCTAATTCTCGGAAATGTCCAGAACAAGTCACCTCCCCTAGAGTCCCCCCACCTTTAAATTCCCCTCATGGCCACACCCTGATTTAGAGGCCACTCAGATTAAGAACTCTCACTCCTCACTCCTCGCAGACAGGAGAGTTTTCAGCTTAGCTCACTCACTGCAAGCAACGACTCTTGTTAGTTTCTGTTTCAGGTTGTGAAACACAGCCTTCGGGGACTCAAGAACTGTCCCATCTCCGTGGAGCCATAGAATTGTCTTCAGCATCTGCCTGGTGTCTACCAACCAGGATTCTCTACTGCTCTGTTTCCCGATTTTTGTGAGCCTAGGAGGTGCCCGGGCTCCCTCTGGCTCTGGCTTCCTGGCTTTCACCATCTAACCAGAGCATCTGAAGCTATGGGGTGCCGACTGAGGCAGAATTCACCGCCACCCAGGTGTCCACTTCTCTGGCTCATTCATCTCTTTGTGCTGCTGGTTGGTCTTTCTCGAACGTCTTCAGGTAAGGAAGGAACTTCCAGGAACTTGATTTAAGCTCGACGGGTTTTGAGAAAGATGCTGTTCTCTGTGCTGGCTCCCTCGGCTTACTTTGTAGCTGTCTCCTTCTGCTCACTTTGTGAACCAGAGGGACCCTTCAGTGCGTTTCCAAAATACTTTAAAGCTAAGAAAGTTCTGGTTCAAAGACGGTAAAAGGACATATAGGTTCACACAGCAAATTAGAAACCAAGTTAAATCAAGAACTTCAACTCTAACATAGAAGTAGGGACAGTACTGTTTTAACAACACATAAGTCCAGAGAGCAGCTTAGGGCTGTGGCCTCCTCCATCTATAATAAGATGTTCGATCACATCTTGTTATGTGCCTACAGCCTTGGTCTGGGATTCTGGTTTTCAAAGAATGTTTCTACGCTATGACTCAATTAATGTGGCCTTCCTCTAAGACCAAACAACGGTGACCTCTTCCGTTTGGTGGGTAGTTGAGAAATGTTATCTTCTTAGTGTGAAATCTTTCTCTTAATATTTCTTCTCAAGCTTCGCTTTCTTCCAGTGTGTCAACACTGACATCTGACTGCTAAGATGTAGTGCAAAATGATTGGTGTTTTAGTTGTTTCTGACAGGCTGTGTGTTTCATATGTGTTGTTTTTTAGTTGTTTCTGATGGCCTGTGTGTTTCCTATGTGTTCTTCAAAGAGCGTTTTGCTCTCAAGGTGATTTTGCTTCTATGTCGGTGGTCTGAAGGGGCTGGACTTCAGGCACTATCAGAAGAGGTGAGGGCTCTGTCCAGATCATGGTTTTCTTGGGAACTGCCATCCACCATGTCCTGAATGACCTTTTTTAAAGGTCAGGAAACAAAAGATCTGCTTTCTAAGGAATAGCACAGAAACTGTTTCTCACAAACGAGGAGGAAACCAGAGTTCCAGACGGCAGTGCGGAAACTAGACTCTCAGAGGCCCTGGTGTCAAATCATTCACCTAAAATCCTGCCCAGAATATCTAAGAATGTGAGAGACAGGAAGAGAGAAAGAAGGGGATGGAGGTACGCAGGCCACCTGCTACAATAGTAGCAGTTTCAGGTTTTCTGTCCCGAGCTGTGAGATTTGGTTGCAGAACCCAGACAACCACGACTTAAGAGCCCACTCATACATCAGGTTCTCTACGTAGTCAGCACGTCCAACAGTTACAGTCTTTTCCTGGAGATTAGGGAAGCACTCCCAAACTCTAGTCTTCTGGAGCAACTCCAGACACCCCAAAATGGGGCTTGGGAGTGGATGGGTGGGGTGGAAAAACTCTTAAAAAGAGAGAGAAAGCAGACAACATTTAAAATTGAGAATTGTGCCAGAAAGAGTCAGAAACCAAGCATAGCTGATTCATGTTTAGCCATTAGGAAAGCACCAGGCCCTACAGCTGCCTTCAGTGTCTACTGGGCTGAGTCCCCGAGCATCTTATTCTGAGAGTTCACCTCACCTCAGAAGTAGTTGAGCATGCGCTTCGTGGCTTCAAACATGTTTGCATATGTAAATCCTGGAACGAATCCCACAAGAAATATGAAAATAGGAGGACTACCAAAGCCCAGGCTCTGAGAAAAGAGGGGGACAGGGTCTCTGGAGGAGTACAGCTGAGGGAGGCAGATGTGATAGAGGATTCTGGGGAGGGAGGCAAATTGGCAGACACCTTCTCCCCATTTTAGGCAGAGTCTCGTGTAGCCTAGCCTGGCCTTTACCTCGTTAGGTAACAAAGGCTGACTTTGAACTCTTGATCCTCCTACCTCCATCTCCTAAGTGCTAGGATTCCAGATACAGCACTTTGCCCAGTTTAGATATCAGATAGAGGGCATTCCGGGCAAGCACTTTGCCAACTGAGCTACACCATAACTGTCTAGCTCATTCTTTGTAAACACTTAATTCAACAAACACCAGGCAATTTCTGGGTACAAGACATGTTTATTGGTCCCAGGAACAAATTATGAGCTCCTTTCTTTCATGGAATTTATAGTCACTGGAAGGAAGAAGATGAACAATCTAATAATCATTGCATTTATGTCATGACCACAGAGGTGAGAACTTTGAAGGAAAGGTGTTGTTCCGAGGCGCCATTTTCACCTGCTGAGGACCCGCAGACAGACAGTGATGGAGAGAGCAGGACCAGAAGGGAGCATAGCCTCTCAGGCCTGGGCTTTTAAGGAATCTGAACGATATTCAAACTGCACTGGGAGGGCGAGGAAGGGTTTAGAGGGGGAGGTGGCACTATCTATCTCAGCGCTGGCCATACGTTAATTGTGTATATTATCACCTGGGTGGGGGTTAAAAGCTGTCCCTAGCGCAGGGGATTTTTCAGAGAAGTGAAACTATTTTGCATAATCCTATAATGATGTATCTATTGATTATAGACATTTCAAACCCATAGAAAGCCCACCTCCTAGAGGGAATACTACACCGTGACTTGGGGTGAGGGTGATGTGTCAGCGTAGGTTCGTGGAGTGTGGCAAAGGTGTCGCTGCCTCACGGGATGCTGACGATAGAGGATACTCAGGACCGATCTGTGGGACTCCTGCAGGTTTGTCCACCCAGTTCTCCTGGGAACCTAACGCTGCTCTGAAAAATATTTTAAGGTATTTTTGTTTTGGTTTCTAGAGTCAGGGTCTCACTCTGTAGTCCAGGCTGGCCTGGAATTCAGTATGTAGCTCAGGCTTGCCCCCAAATCCCTGCCTCAGCCTCCAGAGTAGCCAGGATTACATATGGGAGCTACCATGCCTGGCTTACGAATCTTACTTGAAAGGTTGCTTCTGCTTAGGTGGCCCAGAACCAGGGCCTGAGATTCTGCATTTATAGTAAGCATCCCAGTGATGCTGAGGCTGGTAGAGCCCTGTTTGAGAAGTATGACTGCATGTAAATGATATTCAAAGAAAAACGGAAAGTCAGATGTGCTAACACAGGTGCCGGTAATCCTAGCTACTCCGGAGGTTGAGGCAGGAAGATCAAAAACTCAAAGCCTCAGGCTGGGTGGTGGTGGCACACACCTTTAAACCCAGCACTTGGGAGGCAGAGGCAGACGCAGGTGGATCTTTGTGAGTTCAAGGCCAACCTGGTCTACAAAGAGAGTTCCAGGACAGTCGAAGTGGTTACACAGAGGAACCCTGTCTAGAGAAACAAAAACAAAATTCAAGGCCTCCCTAGGTTATAAAGGGAATTCAGGGTTAGCATGGACAACTTAGTGAGACCCTGCCTTAAATAGAAATCATGGACTGGATAGCTCAGTGGGTAGTGTACTTGCGCAGCATACACAAGGCTCTGAGCTTCGACTCTAGTAGGGTATAAACTGGGCATGTGTGATCTCAGCACTTAGGGGGCATAGGCAGAGAGATGAGAAATTTAGAATCACTCTATAGGACATGGTGAGTTTGAGACCAGCCTGAACTACAAGAGTCTTTATCTTAAAATAAAATAAAATAAAATAAAATAAAATAAAATAAAAAGCTGCAGATACAGCCCAAGGGTAGAATGCAGGAGGCTCTGCATTCAGTTCCTAGGACTGAACAACACAAAAATCTTGAGCTGGTGAAGCATGAGGAATGGCTCATAGAGCAACCACAATAATTGTGCAAAAACCCAACAGGAGGCTGTTTCTGGAGCCAAATGTGTACGGTGATGTAATTGATGAAACCATCAATTACATCACCGGTGGTGAGGAGAGAGGGGTCAGGTGTGGGAAGGATGGACTGAGACATGAGCAATATGAAGCAGGTGAGAACTTGGCAGATTTTGGTGAGGATAGGAGTGGTCCGTGGTCCCTCAGGTCAGGTAAGGGAGGGCTGTTTGGGGGCTGTGGAGTTGCCACACCTTCAACCCTGCCCTGGGCCAGGAAGTCACGCCATGGTGATGTGGTCCCCTCTCCCCTTCTACTCTCCAGCCATTGACTTCCAGGGCAAGTGGGCCTTTGCCTTTCACAAGATAGGATCCAGCCACACCCTCTCCACCGTCAGGTTTCAGGCGTGGTCTCTTGAGGTAGAAACGCAGGACTGTATTCCAGAAACTGGTGACTAGGAGGCAACCATCAGGGAAGCCTAAGTAGGCTGCCTTTCCTTCGGGGCTGGAATCCTTTCAGGGTGGCTCACCTCTGAGGGCTGGGGAAAAGCTTTCTACGGAAGTTGGATAAGCTTGGATATGGGTGCGTTAGGAGCTCTGAGGTAGAGAGAAAGCAAGTGTCACAAAGAGTAATCCCATCCACACCCTGCTATCCAAACACAACGGGCCAACACATCTCATGAGTTATAACCTCTGCCATGGTTACCCTGATAACTGTAGTTCAAATCTCACACCCTGCTATATGAACACAACGGGGGAACACATCCCGTGAGTTATCACCTCTGCCACCAATACCCTGATAACTGTACTTCAAATCTCAGCATCTAAGAGTTTTGAATTTAGGAGACAAAAAATAAAGACCTGATTTCTACAGACTGTAAGGGCTGTACCTAAACTGGAAGGAAAGTCAGGGGCAAGACTCAAATCATCCCATGACCAAGTGAGCCAGCACACATCCTTGTCCTGCTGGAATGCTCCACAGGCCTACCATCAGACCTGTGGAAATCACTTAACAAAAGTTTAGACGTGCCCCATAGTATCGCTTCCACAGAAAAGATGGTGTCCAAGCATCAACTGTCTCCTAACATATGCTAACCAGGCCCAACCCTTCTTAGCTTCCAAGATCAGTCAAGATGGGACACAATTGGTGTGATATGACTGTAGATCCGAATATTGAAATAAGCATCTCCATGTATTAGGATGATAAGTAATATTTATGTTTCCCCCCTCTTTCATTCTTTTCAAATTTAATGTTTTTTTTCTGGTCTTGGAAAATGCTTATTTAACTAGCACATTTATATAATGTATATCACATCTCTTGAGTTATTTATTTATTTTTTTTTTGCTTTCAGTGCTGAGGATCAAACCAAGCGTTTGGCAAGTGCACTACTACTGAGCTAACCTCCTCACCTGGTGGATTTTT